TGTGCCCTCTCAGTCTGTGACATTAAGTGTTCACCAGCAGGGTTAGAAGAACAACCTGGAAATTGCTTCTCTAGTGTAGAAAAGGAAGGAACCATTCTGAGGCGAAGCGAGTAAACACAATCTTGGCAACTCAAGTAACTCCGGAATCCAGGCAGCATTTTCTCTCTGAGGAATCGCAGCATTCCAAAAAGCAAGAACCTAGCTGATACACTTAAAATCTGGAAAGATTTGTGATATTCCCTCATCTGAGCCTCATCCGGCCATGTAAAGGGAGTAGAGGTGGTGACCTCAGGGACCTTGACAGCTGCTGGGGGCGCTGCTGATATACTCTCAAGGAACTCTTGGCATGGATGCAAAAGCAGAGAACCCCCACCTGACTTGCACCATTCAGCTCCTGCCAGGGTCTGTGGTGGCTGAGTAAGAAGGCCATGCAGAGGGCAGAGCACTTCAGAGCTGAACTCCACACAAACAGCAATACCCCCCAGGATCTGAGCTCAATCTCCTGTGTTTTCACAGCTCCTACTTCGGAGAGGTGCCCCTGTGCGGTCAGACCAACTGGAATTTGACCCTGGCTCAATAGCTCCTGCCAAGTATCCTTGGTGAACTACCTGACCATTTCTCTGAGCCTTCCTTTGCTCACCTGAGTCATCAGGCAGTGATCAGACTCAGGCAAGAGGCGGGGAGACCTAACCTAGCGCAGGAACTATGGCCTGCTGGTTTCTACCCCAGATCAGAAATCAACTGATGTTTCTGTTTAAACAGTGCTCAGCAAGTGTCTGAGCCAGATGAACACAGGTCCTGCACACTGTAACCAATACAGAGCACGGAAGAGTTTGCAACCATTCCTGACATCATCTGAAAAGAACATTCACCTTTAGACTAAGCATTCCCAGAGGCAGGGCAGATGAAAGAGCCAAATGTGTGTGTGAGAGGATTACTATGGGAGAGAAGATTTGGACTCTCCTCCCAAAGTTAACTTACTAGTATCCCTAGGAGGCCAAGTGCCCCTGATTTCCTGGTCTCCCCTATTGTTTTCCTTTACATTCCCACATTCCCTGCTCTGGACAAGTTGGAAATGCGCCGAAGAGCTTCTCCAACACAAACTCGCCATTGATCCCACACTGTGGTCCTGCTTTTGTGACTTGTGTCACACAAGTCGACACTGTACCAGGGCTGGAAGATTTCAGAAAGTGCCTGAGTATTCACAAACTGCAGTCAAGCTGTGATGGACCCAATGACTGTCCACGTTGGACCCTGTCAAAGGCAGAACTATCTCTTTACCATTTCCGATGAGGAACCAGCTAGAGCTCGTTGACAGAATCTCCAAGGCATTGTCACAGTTTTCACAGAGGCTCACAGAGGAAGGCGGCTCTTCCATCATTTCATCATTTCCAGCCAGGACAGGTGTGACAATGAGGTCTCCTTGAGGAAACTTCTCCTCCAATTTCAAGGGCGTGTGTGGGGGGAGCTGGCTATTAACTCAAAGAGTTGCAGGTGTCTTTGAAAAACTCTTCAGTGATGGGCTGGGGCTTGCCGGCTGCTTGTACCTAATACTTCAGAATCGAGACCAATTAAAGGTTTACATGGAGCCATTTATCATGTCGGATTACAGAGTGCTTCCCAGCGCTCTTGGTTGGGTGAGTAAATGCACCCCACCACAGCGAGCCACATGTCATGATGCTGATGACTCAGTCCCTTCACCCTCGTTTCCTGTCATCAGCACCATTCTGCAAGTGACCCATCCTGGGAGGAATTTTATTTTTAATCTCAATGTTTGGGAATTCTCATTAGAGACTTGGAATGGCAGGATTTTCTTCAAGGCCTTATACCAGCTCTGGAGCCAGAGATTCATCTTCAGATCATTTGATAGTTAAAAATCAGAATTTACTGTGATTTTTGCTCACTGTGCTCTGGGCTTCTGTCTGCCTGGGGTGTTCCCATTCCCAGATGCTATGAACAAAAGCTCTCAGATGACTGATGGACTCGAGGCTTTTTTCCCATCCAGATATTTTGGCAACTCCTGGCACAGCAATTACTCAGGACCCATAAAGGAGCCAACAGCAGGCAGCATCCAGCATAACCCTGCAAAGTGGATTTGGAAACTGGAAAACAAGGAAAGGAAGCAAACTCTCCCAGGCCAAATATATGTATTTAAAAATCCCAAGTATTTGTAATCATTTGGCACAAAGTTAGAGATCTAGTAATATTTATGTTTTCTTGTTGCTTTTTTTTGGTTCCCAAATTTACATTTCTGTACAGGAAGGTTGCTTTAAAAATTAATATTTGTATCCAGCGATGCAGGCAAGACAGGAGTCAAACAGCTGTGAACGTTTGGAAAGACTTGGAGCTCCCCCTCTGATTAACTCCTGCATTTTTTGCTTTTTATTCCCTAAGCAGACACTCACTCTGACCCAGATCACTTGGTGATTAGGGTCAATTCATGTTTAAGCTTTGAAGATTAGGGAGACCAGAAAGGGCCACCACTTCCTTTTCTTTCTTTTCTTTTTTTTTTTTTTTGGTAAAACTTTAAACCTTAGAAACTGAAAAAAAAAAGTGCATAATAGTCGAGTTCACTAAAGGAATTTATCCACATTTCTGCCATGTTAAATGTGAGCAAAGTTTATATTGGACTGTCATATTTCTTTACTTTATTCGCCAGCATACACGACGTCGATCTCCACATCTGGTTTTTAATAACCCTCGACATCTGGGAGCTCCTTTTATTCCTATGGTGGACGAGGCACAGTAGTGATATTGGCAGTGTATATTTTCAAGCTACAACTTCTGTCTATTTCAATCATAATTAATTGCCATTTCTAAATATATTTAATTTACTAAAAGTGATTTGCATTAAACCACGTTCCACTGTTAAGAAAATAGTGGTAGATTTGGTGGTGGCGGCTTTCTTTTTTTTTCTCTCTCTCTCTCTCTCTCACTTTTTTAAACATTTAAGACGCTCTATGAATAAATAGAGTTGAAACAATCTGAATGTATACATGCTCTTGGGCTTTAAATCCAAAAGGAAATAATCTGCACTGCACAGAGCATTATTTTTTTAGCCATGTAGGAAGCGGTTAGTAAGGGCTGTGGGCTGCATTTTAAGGAAAGCCTCCTATTTTGTTTTCCGACTTTGGCAGGTGTTAGCATCGCTCTGTGCTTGGGGTTTTCCTACAGGCTTTGGGGGTCAAGGACCTCATGATGAAAGCTAGGACCTTTATCCAGAGCATGATACTTACACACAGACCCCTAGCTTCCTCAAGAGGCTGCTGCTAGTCCCTTGGTCCTTTCTGTGGATACCTGAGGGCCCCCTACTGTGCACTCTGCTCCTTCATTTTCATAAAAGGGGACATCAACTGTGCTTTCATCCAGGAATTTAGAGGAAATTGCATGACTGGGGAAAAAAGTATTTTTCAAAGTTATGTATAGAAAGGGGAAGTTTATTACTAGGAGCAATTACTAGACTGTGTAGGATAAACACAGGTAAAATTTACATGATACAGCCCAGCTAAAATAAATTATACCTTATTTTTTGTCAGAATTCTTATCTAAACTGTCAGTGCAAATACACACCAAGTTATCCAATTCAGACTGCAAATTACTTGATTGACTCAAATCAGTCGTGGGGGAAGGAGAATTCTTAACCCTTTATGATCTACAGACCCCTTTGGTGGCAATTTGTTGAATTCATAGAAAAAATGCGTAAGATAAAATACAACAAAATTGAAAGGAAAAAAATTCTGATAACTTCGTTCAAAGACCACGTATCAGAATCTTTAAGTAGGTGAAAACCACCTTGGTCTATTGGCAAGATTAGGTTCAACCATGTGCAATTGCAATTTTTCTTTAAGATGAAAATCAGCAAAAGAGTGACATTTTTTATGTCTTTCAACTTATTAGTCAATTTAAGCCATTAAAATCTGAATAGCGATAAAATGTTCCAAGTTAATTTTTTCCTGTTCCCATTGTTCACAACAATTTTTTTTTTCTTGTACCCATTTGTTCACATGTGGCAAAACTTGGTTTCACTGGACAGTTAAGAGACACAGCTCTCAATTTAGGTGGAAGGCTAGTTTATGAACCAGTCTTTTAGGCTAAATTTCAACCCTGGCATTCAGCAGTGAGAATTCTTACTCAAAACAGGTTCTCATGATGGTGGATGCACTTCTGCCTTCAAAGGTTCCATTTCCTGGTTTGTGAAGCACTTTACAAAGTGAGGAAAGTGGCTCCAGCCTCTCTGGAAACATTTCAACAAGAATTCAAACCAAATAAGTTTCAGTTTAACCAAAGTTGAACACAATTTTAAGTTAAACAAAACTTCCTTTCTACAAGCATTCTACTGAATTGAAAGTTTACTGTCTTTTCTTTGAACCTTTTTTTTTTATTGCAAACGTATAATCATTCCATGGTATGCACATCTTCTTATATGAGGGAAGAAAAATTAAAACTGACAATTGGAGATCACAGGATGTTTGCCTATGTGAAATAACCAATGTGAATTACCCCGTGCTACGAATGTTCCTTCCACCCAACTCGAGGGAGTTGTCGTTTTTTTTTTTTAAATCTTCTTCAGCCTTTATTGATACTTTAAGCTTAAGAGAAATTAAGGGTATTTGATTACTATAATTACTTCTCTGCTTGCTTTAAAAGCTCTAATCTACTCCCTCAGCATATGCAATTCAGATTGCATGCTTTCCAAAAAAATAATCATCTGCTAATGTAGACTAATTTTAATCTTCTAATCCAATCTTGACACAAAGTCAGCGCTGGGTGGATGGAATGTTTTTGTGTGGGTGTTTCCATAGACACAAAACTCCATAATGGATTTGACAAGTTGGTGATGTGGAACTTAAGTGACTATTTTTCTCCCTTGCTCTTGAAGATTAAAAAACATAGTGAAGATCAGTGTGTCTTTCCAGTGCATCATGGTGTAACTAACCTTTTCTTCTTTCATTTTGATGCTCCCCACCTCTCTGCACCTCCTAACCCTGGTCCGGCCGCAGGATGACGATGAGGGCATATGGGCATAGCCTGGCCTGTAAACCAAAGTTCCAGTTTTGTTTTGAGGGGTGAGAAACCATTTTTATATCACTTTTCTTTTTAAAAAAATCATGAATTATAGTACTATGTGTGTGCTTGCTTCTGTTCAGAGATGCCTGTGACTGTGCCCTGTGGTGTTTTATGTTCTCTGACTATCCTCAAGAGCCTCCTCCTTTTCACCCCTACCCCTGCAACCACACCACTCCTCTGCCTTGTTGGGGCTGGGATGAGCATGATTCAAATGTTTCCTTGTGATTTAAGATGTAAACTATGCCCTTGCTAGGATTTATACACAGTTTTTAAGGGATGACTGTGAACTCAAAATGGTTATAATTCTCCAGTTGTTTTCAGTAAACTGCTTACTTTTTACAAGATATGACTTTCACATCCGTCTGGTTGTGTTAATATTTATCAAAGAATAAGGAAAATGAAACTATCTTTCATGGAACTGGATCTATAATCTCTAAGAAGCCTAGGTAATGAATTTTCCTATCTATTTTTTGGAATCTTCAAGGAAACCATAAGAATTAAGGCATAGTAATGGTGGATGGGTAACCGCATTTTAAAAAATAAGTTAGAATAGTAATATGAGTATTGACAGGTCTCATTAGTGGCATTGTGTATTTTAGGTTTTTACAATAGTGCTTCTAAATACCTTTGCATTATAAATTTACTGCAGTGCATCTTTAAGTGTTGTTTTCTGTTTTAAAGGTTCTACTTTTTTGCATATCAAAAACTGACCCTTTATTTTCATGCTATCCATATATTGAGTGGTGGCGTGTTTAATTGCCACTCGGCTGTGCATGGAACATTAAACTCTACTGATTCCTGCTGTGAGAAATCATACTTCTCCAGGATACTTGCAGACTGTTTAACTTGAGTGCCAGCTCACCAACTCCCTGGAGTTGAATAGATGTATAGTGACGTGGGATACTCTTGAACTTGATAATACTATAGAGCCATTTAAAACCCCTTCAATGAATGTTCAGAATGAAGTAGATTTGTGCCACAATGATTTTTATGTTCAAACAGAATCCAACATGAACTTCATTTTCTTTTACAAACATGAAATGCCATATTCCTGGAATATCACCGACTCTGTGATTGGAACAGCAGTTGGGAGGGATAATTTAGCAGGTGTGTCCTTTCTGCATCTTAGTTCCATATTCCAAAGCAAGGGTGCTTCTCATAAATTTTAATACAATAACTCGTATTTTCAGGAAACATTTTATTCGTGTATTTCACTGCTTGGTGGACCCTATTTAATTACATAAATTTGGTTGCTTCAATAAATTTGGTTGCTTTCTCTGATCCTGTGGAGAAACATATGATTGATTTCCAGATACAACATCCTTCCCACACTAAAGACCTAACACCTTGAGCGTCTATTTGCTATTAGTTAATCCATTTCCAACTTCCTGATCACATGGATTCTCTCCTTCTCCCTTTCCTGGGTGAAGGAAAAGCATCAGTGACCTGAGCTCCTTCAGAAGCAGAGTGGTTTCAAAGGAAGCTCAACAAACAAGGAGGCCAGGAGCTAGAGAAAGTCCTAGTTCTGCCTAAGAGGCCTAAGTGGGAAAAAAAGGAAATAATGTGTTTAATTCACACAGAAAATCTAATGAAAAATAAATCAGCTAAAACAATATTAAATGAGAAGGTTTTAGAATGTTGAAAGCAAACATGGAAGACCTGCCCTATAGCATGCATGAAATAAAAGGCAAAGAAAAAAGAGTTGGGGGTTTCTTTAGGAATGTAGGTCTTATGTGGGGTGCTCTTCAATGAAGTTGCTTCTTCTGCCGCTCACATAATATGTCTCTGGGCCACATTTGTGTGTCCACCTAAATATTAAGTATTTGTGTTGCTTTTTCCTAAGAGTTCTGATATCCACTGGTGCCCTCCCTTAAGATAAGAACCTTGTTGTCCTCAGGAAAGAGCAGGTACCCAGGTACTTCATAAATATTGCTCTTCTCAAGGCAAAAAAAAGCATGAAGTTCCACTTCTACTCCTTTTATTATTTCATGAATAGACTCAAGCCTGAAAGTACCCTAGAAAACAAATGTCTTTTGAAATTAGTCAATATATTGTCCTACTTTAATAGGTTCTAATAAGTTTTATGGGCTTCTGAGAAGAACTACTGATCTCTCTTTATGATTCCTTTAAACAAGTTTGCTCAGCTATCCTTGAAATTTTAAAGTTATATTTGAAGGATTTAAATAATGAGAGATTGCCCTCCCGTTGATCGTCGATTTGCTCGAGCGGGCCCAGTAACGTCTCCATTGGAGACTTTGTTGTTACTGTGTCTGGCATATCGAATACTCTCGGTAGCTTGCCGGGCTCTCCGAGAGGGGCGGAGGAATCGAACTCGGGTCGGCCATGTTGGCCGCTTGTAAGGCGAACGCCCTACCCGCTGTGCGATTGAGGGCAACATTTTGTTTTTGAACCACTGTTGCTGGATGTAAGTCACAGTATAAGCTGTGGACCCTACGGAGACATTGAATTTGTAATTAAAGATGGATTATAATGGCACTTTAAAAACTGAGCATTTTAAATATTTTTATTTATGGTCCTTAAAAAGTAACATTGCAAGGAGTCATTTTACAAGGCATCAGTAATTTGGTCATAAGAGTGTTAGAAGGCCTTGACTACAGTCTCATTTTTGGTGCTGAAATGAATCATAAATTTAAGAACATTTGCTCCTTCAAGCATAGCAAATTCAAATGAAGGAAACAACCCTGGTGGCTCCTCTAATTTTACCATTTCTAATAACTAACTTACTTGGGATTTATTTCTCTCACAGCAATCATTTAAGGGTGATGTCGTCTGAGAGCAAAGCAGACTGAGCAACGTTTTCTTTTCTAAAAGGTTTAGACATCCACTCTAGTTAGCCTTTCTCAGCTTCACACTCTTACTCAGACCCAGCATTTCCCAATCCCAGAACCCAGAGCATAGGCGGGCTCTACTTTGATCATCTTGAAATTTTTAATTATACTTTTGAACAATGTGTACCACAAATTTGTTTTGTACTGGACCCCACAAATTCTGCAGTTGATGCTCCTTAGCTTCACCACATACTTCTGTACTCCGCCTCTAACTTTTCTCTGCCACATCTCTCTATCTAATTATCTATACTCCTCTATTCTTATGTCTACAATTTACCTTTGGATTTCCTTATCATTTTGGTTTGCTTGCAGAGGCTTCATGGAATCATATTTCTAGCAACTTGTCATTTATGAACAACCTTACTGTGTATATTCAACCACAATCATCTGTGTGTATTCACCCCTCTTTCAATTATGAATAGGTGTTTCTGTTTCCTTAACTACATTTTCTATATTGCTTTACATTCACAAAAGCCACTGCTTAATTCTTCACTATTTTTCTTTGGGGGAAAATCCACTCAGTGTGGCAATCATTTGCATCACTGCTTGGAGGCACTTTCTTTGGACCCCTTAAATTCACTTTGGTTGGTAGACATTCAATGAGGTGGGCGGGGTAGGTGAAGGACCAAACCAAGCCATCTTGTGATATCTTGTAATATCTAGAGTTGTATCTATCTTGACCTTTGAATGTTTGAGTTTTTACTGTTTACTCATAATGGTGCAGACATAGAAACAAAATCAATGTATTCATTGAATCATTCAAAAGGAATACTTCTTTTTAGATTAAAAAGTTGTACAGCCAAATAAAGGGTGTTGGGAGGTTCCTCTCAGGATGGGAGATGCATGATGAGAATAGACTATAGACCGAACATGATTTCCACTCAGTGTCTCTTTTGAAAACCACAGCACTCAAAAGGAGAGAGATAACAAAAGGGAATGCCCTGCCACAGAGGTAGGGTGGGAAGGGAGGGATGGGGGGTGGGAGGGATACTGGGATCAGTGGTGGTGGAGAATGGGCACTGGTGGAGGAATGGGTATTTGATCATTGTATAACTGAAACCCAAGCACAAAAATTTGTAAGTCTACAACTGTACCTCATGGTGTTTCACTAATAAAAATTTAAGGAAAAAAATGTTTTTAAAAAGTTGTGCAAATACTTAGAACCAGATTCATAAAGATAATACCATGGGCATTAACAATTTTGGTATGGAATTGTGACACTAGAAGATGAATTTTGTTTAAAATGAAGATTTGGGACCTGGAGCAATAGTACATGGGTAGGGTATTTGGCTTGCTTACAGCCAACTTGGGTTCAATCTCTGGCACCTTATATTATCCTCCAAGCCACCAAGAATGATCTCAAGCAGAGCCATGAGTAAGCTCTGAGAACCACCAGATATGACCCAAAAACAAAATTTTAAAAATTAAAAAATTACAATAAAATGAAGAATTATAGCTTTACACCAGTGTTCCTGTAAGTGAGTATAAGAATGAGTTGTATAAACTGGCAATGGTACATCTACACAATGAAATATTATGCAGCTGTCAGGAGAGATGAAATCATGAACTTTGCTTATAAATGGATAGACATGGAGAGTATCACACTAAATGAAATGAGTCATAAAGAGAGGGACAGACATAAAAGGACTGCACTCATTTGTGGAGTATAAAACAACATAACATGAGGCTGACACCTAACGATAGTAGATACACGGGACAGATAGATTGCTCCATAGCTGGAAGCCTGCCTCATGAGCAAAGGGGAGCAGCAGCTGGAATACAGAAGGGATCACTAAGAAAAAGATGGCTGGAGGAATCGGTTGGGATGGGAGATGTGTGCAGAAAGTGGATAAAGGACCAAACATGATAACTTCTCAGAATCTGTATTGCAAGCCATAAATTCCCAAAAGTAGAGAGAGATTTTAGGGAATCATGTCTTCCATGGAGATAGGGGGATGGTGGGAAAGGGGGGGATATACTGGGGATATTAGTGGTGGGGGATGTGCACTGGTGGAGGGATGGGTGCTTGATTATTGTGTGATTTTAACCCAAACATGAAAGCTTGTAACTATCTCATGGTAATTCAATTAAATTTTAAAAAAGAATGAGTTGTATGATGCATAGACACAAAAAGAGGGCTTTTAAATGTG